ATTTTCAGGGACCAATAATTGAAACAAACACTTTGGTCTGCGTCCAGAATCACTGAATATTGTCCCAAAGTGAGGAAACATGTCTAAAATTATTCAGAAATCCATCAAAATTAGTCCAGATTCGTCCAAACTGACTCAAAACTTGGGCAAAATGACCCAGAAAGTCTGATCTGCTTTCTAGAAATCTACAAATAAGGATCATATTTATATATATTTATATACATGCAGGAGCTCACTGGCCCTTTGTGTCATCCTTGCCTGAAAATTTTGCACATTTTCCCATTTTCAAGGATTTCAAGGTCCACTAATTAAAACTGTGTCCTGTGCTGGATCCAGTCAGTCGTTTGGTTCCGTCCGTGTCTTTACCACAGCTGCTGATGTGTTTTTATAGAGAGGAGACAGAAAAAATGGTAAAAATTCAGTCAAAACATTTTACAGAATCCAAACAATGAGTAAACAAACAGAGAAGCGTGAGCCGGACCAGAACCGACTCCACGTGGCTTTAATCGTGTAGAAATGAGCTCGATTGTGTCATTGTGCCTCCTGTCTTCATCACCGTCATCATCATCACCCGGCCAGGTCAGGGAGGCGTCTCCCCGTCGGCGGTGGCCAACGCCATGGTGGACGCCGTGGTGGACTTTGTGAGGAAGAAGCAGCCGAGGTTCGTGCGCAGCGTGAAGATCCTGATCTTCCAGACGGCCATGACGGCGGAGTTCCACCGCAGCATGAAGAGGAGGCAGGGCGAGGAGGTGGAGGAGAAGAGCGTCTTCACCAGGATCAAAGGTATCCGTCGGCGGTCACATGGCCTGAAGCTCCTCCCACTCTGGGTTCAGTCCAGAGGGCAGCTCTGCACGGTGACATTCATTCATCCACAGTTCACCCTGCATGAGACTAGTTTTAACTCCGGTGTCAGACTCCGACTGTTTCCTTCTGACTCCTCGTTATACATCCTCCATGCTGTCAGTCAGCTCAGCATCCTCCTCCAGAGGCTTAGTTTCAGTTTGGACTCAGAGCCAGTAGGATGAATCTGAACCTGGGATTCTGTCTCCNACAGGTGGTGAGATGTGACCAGAGACTGGGTTCTAGTAGAACCATGGATCCATCCAGCCTCCATGAAAATGATGCACCTTCTTTGATTTTCAAGGACCAATAATTAAAATAAACACTTTGATCTGTGTCCAGAATAACTGAATATTGTCCCAAAGTGACTCAGAAATGGTCAAATGAATGAAAACATTCCTGTATAAGTTTCTTTTTGTTTTAGTGACCAGTGATGTCGTAGTAAACTGTTCTATATGTTTAGTTTTGTATGATTGACACCTTTCTTTTGTTGTTGAGCTCAAACATGGAGTTTTTTATGGGGCTTTATTTTTATTTCATATTTGAGCCAAGATCAGAGATGAATTGATCCACTGTCCAATAATTACAGATTAAGAGTGAAGGACATGATGAGAAATAACTGAAGATTTCAGGTTTTTATGTTTAACAGCTTCTCAGATCTTGTTGTTTAAAAGCCTCAAAGTTAAGTGTGAAAAAAAAACCTGCTGAAAGATGGTCGACGGGCAGATTTAGAAATAAATGATCTTGAAGGTATTTCATATATGAAGATACAGTTTTACAGAAACCATTTTAAATACCAAGAAAAACCCAAAGAGTTTCCAGCAGATCGGAGCTGGTCGAGCAGAGGAGACTAAACTACTCTTTCACAGGTAGCTTCAGGAGTCTTCATGTTTTCTGGTGTAGAAGTTGAAGCCAGAGAAGCTGTTGTACAACCACAGTGTGTCTCCTCTCCCCAGTCAGCGCTCCGGGCTTCCAGCCTCAGCCGATGATCGTGACGTCGGCCGGCCGGCTGCCCTGCCGGAGCATCGTCCACATCGTGGGCCAGAGCGACCCGGTCAAGATCAGAGAGGTGGTGTACGCGGTGCTGAAGCTCTGCGAGATGAACAAGTTCAGCTCCGTCTGCTTCCCGGCACTCGGAACAGGTCTGACAACGACACGACCGCCGGCTCAGAGAAATGTGTGACGCTCGTCTCACCTCCGTCTCCGTCCTCTCTTCTGTCTGCTTTCTGTCATTTCTGTCACTTCACTGATTCGCTGTGCAGCAGTTTGGCTTCACTCATCATCAGTCATTAGTTCTTTTGCCATGCGGTGCTCCAAGGACACAGAATTTGAGTTTCTCTGTAGAAATTTCCAACTATAGCACCTTGAACTGGCTGTTGCTCGATGCTAATGAACCTGAAATGAAATGAATGAGGCCGTCTGGGTGGAGCTAACAGGACAGGAACAAACGCTCAGTAGCTGGTCGGCTTGCTTTCAGGGCGTTGATCAAACTTTCTGATCTTTTTGGAGGCTTCAGGGATTCAGGCAGTCAAAGAGAACATTTCAGCTCCTTCAGCTTGTGACTGCAGCCGACTTCAACTCCAGCTTCAGATTTCTACAGTTTAATTCTGACTCGTCACGATTCTAGTTTAAGACATCTCAGTTCAACAGATCGACTTTTAGAGTCCTGAATGAAGCTTGAACTGGATGTCAGAATGATGACTTAGAATCTGATCAAAGAGACATGAAGCCGCAGT